GTTTTTAACCCACTATGTTCATATTCACCCTCTACAGTCAAGGTCAATTCGTACCGTATTTCTACCCCTACTCCATTGTTATACCCCTACCCAAGGTCAAATTGTACTCAAGGTTTCACCCTATCCTCATTCATATTTATCATACGTGACCTTTTCATATTTCAAGGTCAAAGTGTACCCAATAGTCCCCCCCCACTACTACCACGCGCCCAAAGATACTCCACCGACAATAGGATCCACCTTTCCCACGGACTCCTCCAAGACACCGCGGGGCCAACACTCATTAAGGCTACTCCGCTCACACAATAGGATTATCCAACCCATTAACGGCTCTTCAGAACACACACTTCTTTGCGGGGACACCGTCGAACCACCGACCAAGGACACACATTACGTTTATGAAATCACCGACGATTCATCCATTTTCATAACTATAATATCTTATATCTTTAGGCCATTTTTCTTATACCTCCCTCCCAAGCAATACTCATACGGGTCACCCACACCAGACACAAGGTGGGTCATTTCTAACACCCCCTCATCCTATACATCACTCATATTTCATATTTCATACTTATGCATATTAATGTGACCTTTATGGATTTTTCAGGAAAGGTCAAAAGTGTACTGGATTGCCCCCCCCCCACTACTCACGAGTCCATGCAACCATATACATGAAGCTGGAACGTCTACAAGCCCAGAGTTTTTTATCAGTGCTGCAGTTGGGTTGAAATATGGGGTTAGGACAGGTCGGTGTCGTACCCACTACGTATACCAAGTTATCTTAACCCTCCCTCCTATTTTGAAGATGTGGAAGATCAACCTACTTCCACCATCTGTGGGGTGAGTGCAGTACCCCATTGGCCCAATACAGGCTCCCTAACCAGGCCCCTTCCTTTTCCTAGACAAGCAGAAGTAGTTAACCAGCTGGGTTGTGCTTCAAAATGACAAGATCCCAATAGAATGAAAAGACCTAACTGTTTTATGTCATTTTGGTGCAACATAGCATTACATTTGTTCAGAAAATCACAAATTATCCAGAAGATGTAAGAACACATCTCCGTGCGAAGTGATCAAGGCTGAAAGCCATAAGTGCAGTCACGTGACTTGAAACTTTCTCAACTCGAAAATGTTGCCGTTCAACTCCAGATTTTGCAACTCCTGAAATCTACATTAGAAAGTGAAAATGTTTCACACTACAGGAATATAACCGCGATAAGTTCTATCTACTTATTGGCATAATTATGTACGTACATGTACACGCTTTGTTCATGTTTATAAGCTGCTGTGTAATTTAGCTGATCATTTGTTTCCCTTAGATAAAAGGCCTATTTTTCAGAATTGTTAAGTGATTGCAAAATCCTGAAACAGATCAAAGGCTCCTGCCAACAGTGCAACAGTGAACGGAAATATGTGACCAAAAACATCGAGGAAACAGTTGGCTTAAGTTCTTCGGGGCAATGTGGAGCTTTATCCTGAAACATCTCATCAGCGTGGCTCCTTTTTGTGGTCTCATATTGAGGTAGGTTAAAACAGGGTTTTTGTCATCCAATTGTTTCCAAAAGTTCAGATTCATTATATTTGTTAGTATTCATGTATTTTACGCACTTAGTGTGCTTGCCCTGGCTCACTATACTTTTGGTAGATTGGTTGTACATTATTTTACAATGACCACCAGATAACAGCGTTCAGTGTGTGCTTTAGTCAGTTTGAAAAAGCATTCATTCAAAAGCTTGGGGTAGGCTAGCTGACAAGACAGGCATCATGTAACATTTTTCATCAAGATCCAGACACTCTTTTGAAGACACAACCTGGGTAGGTTTATTTTTATCTTCATTATGACTTACACGTAGACTTAGCAAAGGTTTCAGGAACCATTTATGTAATTATATCCCCACTCACTGTAATTTTTAAGGGTCTTTGGTTTTGCGAAACTTCTCTCCTGCACCGCGACGTTACATTAAGACAGGGAAAGAGAATGAAGTAACACAACCTGAATGCTGAATAAATTGATCTTTGAACAGTTTTATACTGTTTCATGTACATGCAATATTCCAGTCCTGGAATATACACAAGTGTTGTATGTGGTTAAGCACAGAAACAAACTGTTAACGGTCGTCATTGATCTGCTAAATACCTCAATTGTTCTAGTAACCAGATTGCAAGAATTTCAAGATCTCGTTTTAACCCTTATTGTCATATTGACTTCACAGGACAGACGCTTTTGCCCCCTCGGTTTGACTTTCCCCCCCGAAGAAACCACACAGACGGGTTGTGGGTGTGAACTGCAAGGTCGGGTTGCGGAGTTTCAAAGTGCAGTAAACGTTGAACGGTAGTATGTTTACCTCGGATCCGGTGTCAAGCAGGAAGTTGACGGGTTTATCCTCGACTGCGATGGTCTGGCGCCATGAAGTTGGTGATTGGCCATTGTCGCCGGAGACTGCACCGACAAAAAACTCAGAGTCATCTTCGGTGTCATTGGGTGCACTCACAGCTCGCATGTGTTTGCGCTTGGAACGGCAAACTTTGCTGAAATGTCCGGTTTTGTGACAGGACTTGCATTGCTGGCCTCTAGCTGGGCATGACGCATGACTTGGGTCATATCCGCAATTGGGACACCTGACCTGTCCAGTGCCGGGCTGGAGTTTTGGTGTGTGAGTGCTAGACGCTTTCTGTCGTGGTCAATGTTGTACTGCCTGAACAGCTGCGGTGTTGTGAGTTCCTTTAATTTCACGGAGATCTTTGGTGGCAGTCTCAAGAGCTTTAGCAATTTCCAAGGTGTTTTGGAAAGTGAGGCCGTCCTTAGTCAGAAGATGTTTCTGAACATATTCAATGCGGAGGCCACAAATCAGGCGATCACGCAAGGCGTCATCCAGAAATGTCCCAAATTGGCAGGGGCTGGCCAAGTTCTGTAGTGCAACTCCGTACTGAGCGATGGACTCATCGATGTGTTGATCACGTTTGTAAAATCTGAAACGTTCCGCTACAACTAGACGCTTTGGGCCACAGTGCGATACTAGCATCTCGCAAAGGTCCTTGTAGCCCTTCTGTGATACTGAAGTTGGTTCAGCTAGGCTTTTGACAGTCTTGTAGACAGTAGAACCAACTGCACTTAAAAGAACCGCCGGTTGTTTTGCCGGAGGGATGTCACTGGCAACAAAATACAAGTTGAGACGTTCAATGTAGTTCCAAATATCTTCAATCTGATCGTATGGGTCCAGACGACCGATAAGCGGAGCGGCGGATACCGCCCCCAACGACGGGGACTGCGCCATCGTGATGCGTGAGTTTATTCCCGTGCGTGAAACTCTCACAAGTTCGTTGGAAAGTTGTAGCGGGAAGGTCACGTTTTGGTGAACAAAAATGAATGCAAAATGACGGCTATGTTATTCTGAATCAACCACCGCTGCCACCATGTAATAAAGTTGGGTTTAGGTTGACGAGAAATGAGACACAAAGGGGTGAACTCACCGTTTGGGGTTCACCATGCGGGCCGCCGGCGTCATGTTTGTACATGATTTTATTCAGCGGGCGGGCAGAACGTGTAGTTCGTGACATGGTCGCAAACGTTTATTACAACACAGACATGTTACAAGTTTAATTATTTATCAACAATCTACACAGTCCCTAAGTACAACCACAAAACCTGAAAGTTATAGCTTCATTTTGAGATAAAAACAACATGTTTCTGGTATTAGATTTAACTGACAAACTGTTCGGTTATGCAGTAAAACTACAATATTTCTATCAGAAATTCAGAAGAACAAGACCTAAAAGTCGTCACCATTGGAAGAAACACTACTTGTTCAAAAGAAGTAAAGTTTTATCTCGCCCCAAACTGATTCAGGATGAATGCCACTGGTAAAAGTACATTCTTTGAATTCATGCGAATTGAAGATTCCTAAACTTTGAGAAATAGCAATTCCGCTGACTTCAGTCACTAACTACAACCAAAATATCTGAAAGTATTAAAGAATTGCTTAATTTTAAGATTAACCGTAACCCCCAAGGATGTATGTAAATTCACATTGAAATCGGAAGATTTGGGACTGTTAGTGTTAAAACATATGTTTTATTAAGTTCAAATGATAAACTTTTTGGTTGCATGATATCCTATACATCCTTTGGTATAATTATGATGCAGTTTCTCCACAAATTAGGTTTCCTCATTTAGTATTGAATCACATTCATGTCGGAGAATGTGAAATTAAATTATACATATTAAATGTATTCAAACGACAAAAAAGTGTGATTTTCTGAGTTTCAAGAAATTATATCGGTACACACATAGATACACATCCTTCAAAGCATAATAACTTCCTAACCTCGAGCATGGGTTCTTATTTCAGTAAAAGTTAAAGATCAATGGACATTAGGTATTTGTTTTGTAATGTCAAATTTTAAATGACAATTCTTACCTTCTAGAGTTTAAACACGATCTTGATCAGCCTTTTCCCCAGGATAGAGAGTAGCATTTCTTGCACAGGGAATAAAGTGAATTGTAAAGAATGTTTTTCTTCAATACTGGACAGTACTCAGTTCAAACTCAAATGTTAGACCACATTACGGTGGTTGCCCAATCCACTCATATCTAGACACAGGATACTTCCGAGTAGATACAGAGATAAGCGGTGTTTTGGTACTTAGCCCTGTCTTCTGAGCTGGTGCCATTGTTCAGCTAACATAGTTTCCCCTAATCTTCAGTTTCCTTGATGTTGAAGGAGCAACATCCAGCTCCTCAATGCAGGCTGACACTGTCGGTGCTAAACTCCTGGAGTGCAGACAGCCTGGTGCACACGGAAAGCCTTGTGAAGATTACTACAAAAACCATCATCCATACTGTCATGATATGTTGAAGCCAACACAGCACAGTCTTCATCACCGCAACAATTATCTGGTTGTCCAGGTCCCTATTTCAGAAACAGTTCGCTTCCTCTCTGACCATCACACTCCCAAACTCCTTCAACTTGCATGCCATTGCAAGCGATCGATGCGTGAAACTCACTGCCCCTCTGTTGTGCCACATCAATCATAAAATTCATCACTTCGGGTGAACGTGGAGCAGCCATATTTCCGCCTTTCTCTCGGCACACAGACTTAGCATCATTCCAATTAAAGGGCAATTCAGTAAGATAATAACAAGAGTTACGCCACAGTAGAGCCTGAAAGTAAAAGGTCACGCAGCAAGCTTCCGGAACCCTCACGTGGTCCTCCTATGGGGATTTTACGTTCGGTCGTCCTATCACGTTCGATATTTTTTGGAAGAATAATTCCTAACTGAAACGACCCCTCGAAACCCTCATGTTGGAATTTTACCTTTGTCTTCCTCAAACAATAGTTACATTGAGATATGTAAAAAACGAATTTTGTAACGACCTTTCGCTTTTACCGGCGATATCGTACCTAGGTATCCATGTTCATGCAAATTTGTTTTCACAACCCGTGATTACGGGAAAACAAGATTGTACAACGGATGCAAAGATTTACCTACTTGCACTCGATGAGTTCCATATTCCGTTGAGTTGACATCATGCAGTTGTTGTCAGCAAAGGTTAGATAAAAGATTAGAATCTTTCGTGGCCGAAGTAGAATATTGCTTTAGGTTTACTACTTATAAATCATAAGACTGTTTAAAATATTTCGATCTGTTTTAATAGCAGTTTTTACCAACGGACTACCATAAGATTTCAAACCGTAAATAGTCAACCGTGTACAAGACTGGTGCATTGCACTGTTCTTCATGTATTTTAGATCTTCGGAAGTGATGGGTCATTTTTTGGCTGGATGTTTCTCCTTTACGTCAGGTGATTTTTCAGTTCTTATGTTACCAGGTTTTGAGCTGTGAGATGAAAAAGGAAGATTTTCTTTGGACCTTTTTCTTTCACAGGAACTTTGCTCATTGACTTTTAATGACATGTCAATCAAAATTATTAACAATGACTGGAAAATCATGAAAAGGTACAATTAATTTGTGTGCAGCAAACGTCCTTCACGACCTAACACAGTAGCATCACTTATACTGTACTTTAGTCCTTAAATAGCCTATAACTACATGTATCCAATGCCTGTTCTTACAATACACAATTATTTGCTTGGTCATGACTATGAACTGGAAGAAAGAATTTCCTCACTACACTTGAGTGTTTGACTTGACACCTGTCCGTCAATAACTGGTCAAATACTCGGAAACAACGATAACCCAATTTCCATGTATAACGCTTAATATTCCATCTCATGTGTCCAGTACACACATTATCTTAGACACGTACATGAACACACGTATATCCATTTAAAACAAGCAGTCCTTGTCATTCGAGAAAACTAAAAATGCACAAGCACCTTCGTTCATTATAGCTTCTCATGAGTCACACTCTTATGTGGCAACTGAGGTTATCTACCAAATTCTGCATTTCCCACTAAGTACATGTGCATATTCAGTCCATTCATCTGGGATTTCCGGGTTGTTTCCATGCTCTAAACACTGCATATTTACATGTGCATCATGTTGTTCAACCCTTGGGACCTCTAAACACTGCACATTTACATGTACCTCATGTTGTCCAACCCTTGAGACCTATCTAAGTAATCGTTCATCAATTCACACCTCTTGTAGGGCTGCATGTGCTGTATCATTTCTACTCGGCCAAAATCACCGAGAGACACTGATCTTAAATGAAGAGAAATTACTAACATATCTCTATAGAATCTTGGAAATGTCTTTATTCATTCGAATGTCTATGTGCTTGTCACATGGTCCTGAGAAACAACTGTAGTGAAATTCCTACTACAACTGCCGAGGCAGCCGTTGAATGACACCACTTGAAGATTTGGTTAAGAAAGGCCACAAGCAGATGTTGGTTGGCTTTTCTCCTGTAAATAGTTCTTGCCTGGATTAGACCAGTAACAAAAGAAAACTGGCCCATTCGGCGGCAGTGTGCCAGAAGAGCATTGTTTCCTTGGTTTTATCTGTGCGCGGAGCAAAAAAGCAGTCGCCATCGCCCATTCGACGAGCTCGGTTGTCAAGACTGACTGCAAAGCCTCGACAAGAAGTTTAACTCGACAAAATAGTCTTCTTTACTCTTCCCTATTCCTTTTTGGGGGCTGTTGTCTGGAAGCAGGATAGGAGCTGAATGGACAGTGTATACTCCTCTACGGTAGCTATCCTGGTGGAAGGACAACACCTTTTCATCTTATTATTTATTTTCCCACTTCAGTTTTGCTGACATGGAAATTTTCCTCGGAGCTCAGTGGTAAATGATATTTATTTAAGTTCCTATCAGGGATAATTTGGCTTAATTTATCCAAATCTCCTAAACTGGATGATTCAACCCCCCCCCAAAAAAGTGGGGGATCACCCCATCTCCTAAGATTCGTTCCCATACATGCCAGGTTTTTCTATTATTTATTTTAGGAATAAATAAACTGTGCACTGTCTGTGCAGGATTTACGAGGACATTTTTTAAACAATCGGCTGACCTTTACGGTTTTCAGAATTTGCGTCTTGGCGCACATAGAAAAATCCATTTAAAAAGTATTTTGAGTGGGTTTTGAGCATTATTTCACTTGGTTTGGATACTTCCATAAAATCAGAGAGAACATATTTTATTTGGAGGTGCTCTTTCCCCCTAGGCCTTTTACTAGGAACCATCCTGAATCCTCTGAAATCCTCCGATTTTCAAAATGAAAAAATTTCATTCAGCCCAAATCCGCCAAGATCCTCCCAAATTTCTTGAAAACGTCATTTAGAGGTGAGCCCAACTGTCCCCACTTTTTCGGGGGGGGGGGTTGAATCATCCTCCCCCAACTTTTCGTGGTAAGAAAAAAATCAGGGAGATTCTGAAGATTTTTTTGGACTTCCAATGGAATGTATTTCGATAGTACTAAAAAGGGAGGGCATGTCATACATGTAGGTTTCTCAGTAAACTGCTCCAGCTAAATCATCCGTTCAGAGAGACAGGTAATTGGACTGTCGACTACCTAATGGTTGATCAATTAAATTTTTGGACACATGCACAGTATCAAAGGCACGTGTAATTAAGTCACTTGCTATTAAGCATTAGACCTTGCCAATAATTATTGTCAAACTTGCGAGATGCCTGGTCCTGAGAATAATAAAAAGCCTATAACAAAAGGGCAATGTTGCCATAGCAACATAATTTCCTATACCCTAATCGTGATACTGTTCGCTGTAGGTTCATTTACTGCCCGGGCATTTCTTTAAGTCTTTGCAGTGAGCAGTTGATTCATCACGTCCCTTTTTTGCTGTTACAGATTA